TTCAAATACTTGGCTTAATATTCAGTTTATGGATACTATAACCCCCCCCCCCCCCCCCCTTTTCTACTTCAAGTTTATGGTTGCTAATTCCTAATTTCTTGAGCAACACTCTTTGCTTAATTTTGGTGACTTGACTTAGATATTCCTCGAAGTTTTCATCTGTTTTAAATTGACGAAAGACTCCTAGTTTGTTTGTTTGTTTGTTTGTTTTGTCTGTCGTCTTTCCTTTAATCATTGTGAAGAGTAATTCATAAATTTTTGGGTCTCAATATCATTTATTCTTTAATGTATTAGCTTTCTATATTGTTTCAATTTTGGTCATCGATCCATATTATTGCGGCTAAACTGAGATGTTCTAAGGTACTATTTATTTTCTAACTCCAARAGGCTTTCTTTGTTTCATTCTTTGTGTCTTCGTATACACCTAATTGAAAAATCGTTGTCGGGTTCAAAAAAGGTTATGTCATCAAAGCTAAGACCGAAGGGGAGCATGGGAAGACAAATAATTATGCGTATTGCAGTTTTCCCTTCCTGTGCACATTTTATGCATCATAGCTTTGGTATGTTGTTAATCTAGGTCAACCGACTTTGCTCTACTGTGCATTTTTACATGTCTATATGCAAATATAATACACATTTCGGAGTACCCAAAATCCTTTTCGGTTTTAGCTTCGATGATATGACCTTCTCGAACCCGACTACGTTTTTTCAATTAGGTGTACTTGTATTGAAAAAAACAATGGGTAGTTTTCCCAATGGAATACAGAATGTCCGACCAACAAACTCGAGGAACAATGAATGAGGGATCGGTGTATAGCATGCCTCTCATGGTGTCTTTTAGCCAATGCCAATGCCCGTTCCGTGTCAGTAATCGAATGAGTTTTAAGGTTGAGGCTTTCAACCCTCTGTGTCCTGATTCCCTTGAGTATTATTTCTTTTTAAATCGATAATAAATCCAGTGAATTCCCAATGGAGTGACATTAACATATTGCAAGCTAAAAATCTTTTCTTTTACAAATTGATTTAGGACTGAAGACCTTGCCTCATACAAGACTACGAGAATAGTGATTAAGGGACGTGGACTGATGTTGTTACTGGAGATAAAGTTTTCTATGCTCGTGGCTTACTCATTTCATTGGCTTCCACTCAGGTTATAAATTATTACTCATTCTGCCAGCATACGTTTTGACTAGTAACTAATTTTTTTTCAAGTACTCTTTGTAAACTTCGTATTTCTTTTTTGAAAATCAGTTACATACAAGGTAGGATACGCACTGAAGATACTAATAATACCGTAGAGTTGTCTTCACATCAAAGGTTAGCGATATATTTATGTCTGTACTGTGCAATCGACTTCCATTGATCAATTACTCAGTTAAAAACTGTACTGAACACAAGAACTAGCTACATATAATATCGGTATATAAAACAAACATGCAGTAAAGTCGAATTAAAATTTTAGTACAGTAAATGTTTTGACATCAGTTATTCTACTAGTATATAAGTCCAGTAAAACATTTCACGTTTATGGTATATAGTAGTTTTTTTAACATTTCTTAATGATGTTTTAAAACTAAAAAAGATAATAATGACAAGAACATCAAATTCTTCCTTCCTTCCTTCCTTCTATTCTTCGTTCCTTCCTTCTATTCTTTCTTCCTTCCTTCCTTCCTTCCTTCCTCCCGTTTTTATTTACTCCTTGATTTCCTCATTTCATTCC